TAAGGCCAAAAAGGGTGTTAGCAGATCTCGATCTCTTGACCTTGTGATCTGCCCACCTCGGCCTCCCAAAGTGCTGGGATTACAGGCATGAGCCACCATGCCTGGCCAGTTTTCTCATTTATAAAATGGGATAATAGTACTAATTCCTTGGGTTGTGGGAAGATTAAATGAAATAATCCATGTAATTTGGTCACATACTTAGCTGCTCCCATTAGCACATCCTGATTATTCTTAGCATTCAGACCATGTGTGACTGCACTTATAAGACCACATGAATCCAGTGGTCTGTGCCATGTAAATCAGGCCACTGAGATTTTACTCAGCCTGCAATGGCATGGGCAAATATGCTTTTGACCTTGTAAAGCCAGGTGGGCCCTAGCCTCAAGCGACTCACCTTCAGGCTAGGGGTGTCTTACAGACAGCTGGGAGTCAGGTCAAAGAGCTGCCTTATAGATAGCTGGGAGTCCTCCAGGCTAAGTGTCCTATAGGGCTGGGAGTTCCTCCAGGCTAACTGGTTGTTCACTGGCTCTGGAGTTGCAAGAATAGACAACTGGCTCTCTGCTGCTATTGGAAGTCTCTCCTAAATTAAACTCCTTAATTAGTTGGACGTGGTGGCGGGCGCCGATAATCCCAGCTACTCAGGAGGCTAAGGCAGGAGAATTCATTGAACCTGGGGTTGGGGCAGGGTGTAGGTTGCAGTGAGCTGCTATCTTGCCATTGCACTCCAGCCTGGCAAGTGGAAATTCCATCTCAAAAACAAAACAAACTCCTTGGTCTGCCACATGCCACTGCTCTGTGACCTTGCACTTTTGGTTCAAAGATCCAAACAAGGTCTATAGTAGCTTACTTATTCTGTTCTCAGGGACCACTCTCCACTGATCCCCTGTGGGCTTTAGCTGACTAAGCCCAGTGTGGCTGAGTGGTACCCAGCATGATAACTGCATGGGTAAGGGTTCAGTGCAGGCAGGATCAGCTGGCCAGGGCTAGTGGATGTTTCCTTCACAACAGTTCTCCTGCCACCTGAGATCATACAGTATCTCAGTATCTGCTAGGTCAGTCTGGGGTCCAGCCGGAGGCCTGATGAAGCAAACAGCTCTCTGAATGTTTACTCTGGAAACGTCTGGGAGGCTGAGTGAATAACAGCAAAATCAACCCTAACCCCCATAGGATCCAGAATTGTGCAACTGAAGCTCCTGGGAGGATAGAATTAAAGTTAGGCGGGCCAGGCGCGGTGGCTCACGCCTGTAATCCCAGCACTTTGGGAGGCCGAGGCGGGTGGATCACGAGGTCAAGAGATCAAGACCATCCTGGTCAACATGGTGAAACCCCGTCTCTACTAAAAATACAAAAAATCAGCTGGGCATGGTGGCGCGTGCCTGTAATCCCAGCTACTCAGGAGGCTGAGGCAGGAGAATTGCTTGAACCCAGGAGGCGGAGGTTGCGGTGAGCCGAGATTGCGCCATTGCACTCCAGCCTGGCTAACAAGAGCGAAACTCCGCAAAAAAAAAAAAAAAAAAGAATTGAAGTTAGGCAAAGGAGGTCTCTTAGAACCAGCCCCAGATGCCCCTATAGGACCTTTTTCAGATAACCTGTCTAGAAGCTCCAGGCCTTGCTTTTCCTAGAAGTGCCCTGCTATGCCTGTGAGCAATGTCACCAAACAGGTTGGCTCAATCAGCCCTTCTAGCATGCCTCTCTTTCTCAGGCAGCCCTGCAATAGAGAAGAGAAGGCCTTCACGAGCCCCTCCCGACTGGCTCTCTACTACTCCTGCTCCCTCTTCCTGCTTGGATACACTTCATTTCACCTTAACCCTTTGGAGCGGTCTGTCTGGGAAGGAGGTGCCAGGATCCAGGATGTGTGGCAGACAAGGCCCAGGTGAGGCTGTGCTATGGCTGCTTCAGCACGATGCTTACGCCATGCTGAGATCATAGTCTGGTCCTTGTCACTTCTGGGGGTCACTCCCCTCCCTGACAAAGGCTGCTCACCATTCCTCTGCAAAGTTGCACCCAGAAAGGGTGGCTAACCCGGTACAAGGGACAGCCCAGTTATCTGCATCAGGACACTCTTGAAAGCAAAGTCCAGCTGGGCGCGGTGGCTCATGCCTGTAATTCCAGCAATTTGGGAGGCTGAGGCAGGTGGATCACCTGAGGTCAGGAGTTGGAGACCAGCCTGGCCAACATGATGAAACCCTTCCTCTACTAAAAAAAAAATACAAAAACTTAGCTGGGCTTGGTGGTGCATGCCTGAAATCCCAGCTACTTAGGAGGCTGAGACAGGAGAATCGCTTGAACCTGGGAGTCGGAGGTTGCAGTGAGCTGAGATCAGGCCATTGCACTCCAGCCTGGGGAACAAGAGTATGAAACTCCATCAAAAAAAAAAAAAAAAAAAAAAAAAAGCGAAGTCCCAAGCCTCTTCCAGGTGCTGCCCCGCTCATGGCCAGTCACCGCTGCTGCTTTATGAGAAGGCTCTACCAGCCGAATGCGTATGGGTTTGTTGGGTGGGGGTGGGGGGGAGAAGAGTCCTACCTGGCCACTGCCCCCTATCGGACCTCGCCCTCCCAGCCAAAGGATGGGTTCCAGATCTTGCCTTTTGTATTCCCCAGCTGGGGGCCAGCCGGCTAAGGGACCCCAGGGAGACACAGTCTTCCCATTGCAAACGATAGCGCTGATGGCTGAAGGCCCCTGTCTTCAAGCCCCTCCCTCCAAAGATGACAGCTCTCCAGTCTCTAGGTGCCTACAGGCCACGTGGGCTGGCAGTCAACTCACCTGTTTCTCAGAGGGGCCCAGGACGCACAGAAGGGGCTGGTCACTGCCCTCTGCCGGACCCCTGGGGGGATAAGGTTGTCTGCCTGGGTCCGGCCTGGGGGCACAGCTTCGCGGGGCCCCGGCCCCCTGCGTACACAGACATGGCCACAGCGCCGGCACCGCGCCCTCCCACCGCCCTCACCCGGCCGCCGGTGCAGGAAGACAGCTTTCGCCGGACTCTCGCGGCTAAGGCCCAGCTCCAGCCGCTCGGCTCGACCCGGCCCGCCCCCGGGGTGCATTGTGGGAAATGTAGTCCGTAGCGCTCGGCAGCCTACTGCGCCGCGGGACTGGTTCTGGGGTCCTCATCCCGGCAGAGCCGCGGGCAGGTCCTCACCCGGGTACGGGATTGCCTCACCCGGCGCCGCCTTCTAAGGACCTGGGGCCTCCTCGGAGCCTAGAGCCCCACGCAGACCGCAGACCTGGACTCTCGGCCTCTCTGTCCGAGCCAGCTAGTAGTTCATTTAAAGGGAGAGAAAGGGACCTTAGGGTTGTTTCCCCTATTGATTGTGGAAGGTCAGTGCAAGTTTTGGGGGCTGGATAAATGTCATTCGTGGGCCCAGTCACACAGGCTGTAAAGGATGTGGGCATGCGCAAAAGTTGCACAAATTGTTTCTAAAAACATATTTGTAGCCACGTTTTAATGTATCAGTATAATGCTCTAGAACAGTAGTTCTCAACTCTGACAGCACGTAGAATAACCTGGGGAGCTTCAGAAAAAAAAAACAAAAAACAAAAAAAAAAAACTGGGCCGGGCGCGGTGGCTCACGCCTGTAATCCTAACAGCTGGGAGGCCGAGGCGGGCCGATCACTTGAGTTCAGAAGTTCGAAATCAGCCTGGCCAACATGGTGAAACCCCGTCTCTACTAAAAATACAAAAACCAGCCAGGCGTGATGGCGCGCGCCGGTAAGTCCCAGCTACTCAGAAGGCTGAGGTAGGAGCCTGAGGTGGGAGCCCAGAAGGTTGGGGCTGTGGTGAGCTGTGATCATGCCCCTGCACTCCAGCCTGAGCATAGAGCGAGACCCTGTCTCAAAAACAACAAAAACTAATGCCTGGACACCAGTCCTAGAGATTTTGATTTAATTGAATTTGGAGTAGGGCGGAGTGTCGGGAAGCCAGGCATCACTATTGTTTTAACAGCTCCCCAGGTGATTTGCCAGGGCAAAGAATCATTGTTTATAATTTCCTAGACACAAAGCAATAAAAACAACAGGAAAACAGGCAACAACAGGCTTTTCCAAGTGGCCCTTATTTTTAGAGATGGTTTTAAAAAGGAAAATTAGGGCCAGGCGTGGTGGCTCACGCCTGTAATCCCAGCACTTTGGGAGACTGAGGCGGGTGGATCACGAGGTGAAGAGATCGAGACCAGCCTGGCCAACATGGTGAAACCCCATCTCTACTAAAAATACACAAATTAGCCAGGCGTTTGGCACACTCCTGTAGTCCTAGCTACTCGGGAGGCTGAGGCCGAAGAATCGCTTGAACTCGGGAGGCGGAGGTTGCACTGAGCCTAGAATGCGTCACTGTGCTCCAGCCTGAGGACAGAGCAAGACTCCGTCTCAAAAAAAAAA